ATTTAATTCACTTATTTTTTTGCCTTTTTTTTATCTGTAGGATGTAGGTATTTGGTGCTGTAAATTTCCCTCCAAGCAGTGGCTTACTAGTATCCCACAGACACTGATATATCATCTTAGAAATATCATTATTTTCAAGAAATTCTATAATTTCATATTTTGTTTTATATCTTTACACCAAGAGTTGATAGAATTTTAATATCTAGATGGAAAGAACTTTTTTTCTTATTACCAATTTCAGATTGAAAAACTCAGTGACTCCCAAACATGATAAATCAAAAGGAAACTACACCTAAACGAATCAGAATCAAACTTCTGAAAATTAAAGTTTAGGAAAAATCTTCAAAGAGCCAGGACAATGAATTAAGTACATAGGAAAGCGACGATCGGATGACTTCAGCCCAAAGACAGCAGAACAGCGTTTTTAAAGTGCTATAAGAAAATAACTGTCAAGTCAGAATTCCATCCCAGTGAAAAGACATTTAGAAATGAAGGGAAAATACAGATAATCTGAGATGAAAGAAAACCGAGAGATTCACAGCCAGCAGAACCGCACGAAAACAAACGCTAAAGAAAATTGTCCAGCAAAGAAAGAGATCGCACTAAAGGGAAACTTGAAACTTAAGGAACGAAGAAAAAGCAACAGAAATGATAAGTATCTGGGTAAATATATGACACTATTATATTCCTCTAAATTCCTTTAAAATATGTGTAATTGTTGAAACAAAAAATTACAACATCATGTGATGGAGTTTTGAACATACGTGGATGTAGCACGTGTGACAACTACAGGCTAACAGGAGACTTCGGGGGCCAGTACGGCCATAAGGTTTCCACACGTCACTGGGAGTGGTAAAGGGTCAACTCCAAGAACCTGATAAGATATCAGGTTTACATATTGTAATCCCTGGAACCACCAAACACACACACACACACACTCACACACACACACACACACTCACACACAAATGTGAGTTCGTTTAATCTTTTTAAATTATCAGAAAACTCTATTCTGTAAGTGCTGTGGACTGAAGGGTGTACCCCAACATGCATGTGTTACCCTAAAGTCCCGTGTGATGGGCTTGCCCTGTTGTGACCGCATTTATCCCACCCACGAGGGCAGGTGCTACGGTGGCTCTTACACGTCCACATGAGTTTGGAGGGGACAAACATTCAAACCACACGCAGCAAGTGTCCCTACAGGAGAAGGGATAGGGAGACACGAGACATGCGGGGGAAGACACTGAGAAGACGGAAGCAGAGGCAGGAGGGACACAGCCCCAGCCCAGGAGGGCCAGGGATCGCCACAGAAGCCGGGAGAAGCTGCAACAGTTTCTCCCTTAGACCCTGCAGAAGCACTGACCCGGTCAACACCTTGATTTCAGAACTGGGGGAAAATAAACATCTGCTGTTTCAGGCCTCCAAGTTTGTGGTGGTTTGTTATGGCAGCCCTAGGGAACTAACACGAGACCTTGTTACATACGTTGGGGACAAATGGATGCTATTAGCATCTGCTCCAAGTGCACCATGTGACACGTGCGTAGGACGGGCAATGTGTGCTGGCGGAGAAGGGCGGATTCCATTAAAATGAGTGTAGTGTCCCCAAGTGATCTAAGCTGGAAAAGGAAACCCCAGTTAGGTAGACAGGATCTGGCATTTTACTAATCAATGTTATCTGGTAATAAAAAGAAAGCACAGCATGTCATACAATGTCTTTCACATAGTAGGCACTCAAAAAGTATTTTGAAATGATTAATAAGTGAATAAAGAAATGAATTAATGATTAGTGTTTATCATGCTTCACTAGAAGAACATGAGAGCCATTCATACCTCATGCACATTGTTATTAACATCACTGTGTAAAAGTCTCAAAATATTGGCCAACAGCCAAACAGATAGGTTTTTATCCAAATATGCAACAACACTAAACAGCCCGCACAATAATGAAGTCTGGAATCTCTGCATTTACATACTAGCAAACAGCACGTACATGTCTATCCTCAGCACCACACGCCACGAACCGTCCACAGGGGCTGAAGGCAGCTCCACACGGATAGCAGCGGCTTGGGTGCCCCTCAAACTGGCGCTCGCACCTACAGGGGAAAAAAGAAAAGAAATTTTCAAATTTCAACACAAATTACAGGAAACAAATTAATTTGTTGCTTTTCTTCTCAAAAAGGAACAAAGTAATAGTGAAAAAATATTTTATATGTGAGAATTACACACATAGTTTTTTTCCCTTTAACAAAACCGAGGTGCACACTGTGCAGCCGCACCCGCTGCACCTCCTCCACAGGCTCCACGACGACTCCCTGTGACCACTGCGTCTGTCCACGGGCCCTCGAGGGGCCACACGGAGTGGTGCCAAGAGCAGGTACCGGGGCCGGGCCCAGGCCCAGCTCAGCCCCTGCTCACCAAACAGCCTCCAGATTCATCGGTCTCTGTGCCCCGCTGTCCTCGTGTGTGA